TTTCATACAGGCAGCAGAAGGGGAACTGGTGTTTTGTTCGAAAAACAAAATGTTTGATACATTAAGAGGAGCCTTTGTTCTAGTACAAAACGTAATCACCTTGATCACCTTACCATGTATCCTATTTCACATTTTTCATCATCAAATACTAGCACCATTCTAATCAATTGAGCATGGTTGCTATTTTACTATCTTTAATTTGCTGAGAATCGCGCCGCGTGCAAAGGAAAGATGCTGCCGCGGTTCTCTTCGCATCGCTCCGCCTCACTTTATAGGCCTTTTGTCTCTTATCATCCATTCATCTATATCGACAACCTAGTTTTCAATTTACGTCAATAAGTGCTCTGACGCAGACCCCAAATGCATTATACCAATAGAACGCACTCACGGTTAAACAAAAATATGTATCTATTCATATTTTTATATTTAATCTCAACAATAGTAAATTAAACTGAAACAAATCAAGACAGATGAAGATAGTGGTGGAACTTTAGAATAAAATTCAACTGTATTGTGCTAGTGTCTGGTGTGTAATTCGTAGGAGCTTACCGAAGCTATAGTCAACGCCAAACAAAGTGGCGTGCACGTCATCACGATAAAAATTCCCCGACCTAATGCCTAGGTTTCTATCACAAACAATTGCTCTATTGCAGTTTCATATTAATGTGATATATAAATTGTAAAATGGTCATTACTCTCTTATTATGGTTAATAGTCATATAAACATTGTTAGTAAAATATCACATAAGTTGCTTTCTGATAAATTTAGACGCATTATGCGAAATAAAATTAATGTTTTGCAAACGCTCCAATCACTTATCGACATGTAAACGCACTAAACCGATTTCGCAGCGTTGACACATTGTCACCTTGAAACTTATTTAAACTGGGAACTGACATTTGTATTAATTTTGACCCTGAATCAATTTGTGGCATTTCAAATCTTTATAAATCCTTTGGCCCCGCATACTGTAAATCAACAACTGTTTGTTTCAAAACAAAATTATTCATTTTACGAGTAGATAAAGGCAATTTTGGTATATAAAGATGCCCAAACAGTTAAATAGTCGGAGTAAGGAACTCGTGGCCTCGTTAATGCACTACTTTGAGCAAGAAAGGGACAACAACGGGCCTTTGTTGCCTTTAAATGCTGTTCAAGAGGTAGGTTACTAATAATTATATGTAATGTATATTAATAATAGTGAAATTTTATTTCATTTTTTGTAGCGTGTTGCTGCTGCTTTAAACATTAGTTTAAGGACAGTTAGTCGTATTTCCGAGGGTGTGAAAAGTGATGCAAATTTAGAATCGCCCAAGAAAAAGCGGAGTTATATTAAACGTGTAACCAACACAGCGACATTGGATACAAGTGCCATTCGAGAAGTGATCTATAATATGTATCACAAAAGTAAGATCTTATTATAATAACTTATCAGAAATTTGCATTAATCTGTTAACTAAATTATAATGTCATATTACACATGGTTTCAGAAGAACAAGTTACGATACAAACTTTATGGTCTCGATTAAGAGATAGGGCATTATTTGATGGTAGTGCCACGTCTTTAAGGCGGTTGCTTAGAGATCTTGGATTTAAGTGGCTTAAGGACAATCCGCGACGAGGGCTCATGGAACTACCAAGTATAGCTTTGAAAAGGGTGGAATTTCTAAGGCAATACAATCAAGCCAAGGTTGAGGCCTTATACCAGTTTGTCTTCCTCGATGAAACTTGGATATTTCAAAATGGGACCATAGGTCGCTCTTGGCAAAATGGAAACCAAAAAAGCGTGAAAGCTATTAAAACAGATGGTAAAAGGTATGTACTTTTACACAATTTGCACTATAAAATTTAAAACTACATGCTGGAAATGAAAATGGGTTTATTGAGGGTAGTGAGCGATATTTTCTTCGAAAACAAAATTGAGCGATTACCATGGAGAGATGAACCAGGACAATTTTTTGAAATGGTTTCAACATCAGTTATTAGAAAAATTGGAGAGTCCATCTATGATTATACTGGATAACGCCCCTTATCACAGCATGATATTGAACAAAGTGCCCAACAATGCATGGACAAAAAAAAATATCCAAGACTGGTTGACAAATCAAAACATACCATTTTTAAACACAATGTTTAAAACAGAGCTATTGAGTATTGTACATAATGCTTCTTAATTATATATATTTTGGTCGACAGTTTATATTTCTTTTGTTTATTCCTATTCTTAAAATAACTGCTTTTTTAGAAACAAACCACCTAAAATATACGTGATTGATGAATTGGCGGAACAACATGGGCACAAAGTTCTTCGTCTGCCTCCTTACCATTGTATATTTAACCCTATTGAGTTAATTTGGGGCATAGCAAAAGGTTACTATAACAGACATATTGGTAGAGATGGTAACAGTGAAAAAGACTGTTTGGATATGTGGAACGAGGCTCTACAAACGGTTACCCCAGACATGTGGAAAATAGTGTTCGACATACTGAGCAAGAAATTTTTAAATGGTATGAAAGACAACGAATTTTTGATCGACCAGACATCGAACCTTTAATATTCAACTTTGAGAGTGATGAAGATTCAGATTCAGACAGCGCTGAAGAAAGAAACTCCGACTAACTTTATTGTACAGAAAAAGCTTACACCAGTAGCTTACCTAATTTTAGAATGCATTTTTCTGTATGAATTCTGTAAAATAAATATCATGCATAAAATTTGGAGGACCCCATTTGGATTTTTATTCAGTACCTTTAAGCTATCAATTAAATATGGTAGTTTCATAGTGTCATCTGATCAATAATTGTCATACTTAATGATTATGCAAGTACAGATCTATAATTTTATTATACTATTATTTTTGTTCTCATTTGAGGTTAATATTGCTTATAAACCTAGATATGTAAATAATAAATTTTATTATTTTACAAAAAGTTTGGCAACAATGTAAATTTTTCAACACACCCACCTTGATGACGTGCACGCCACTTTGTTTGGCGTTGACTATAGGCGTCCGGCAGTGGTATTACGTATCTTGAAAAGTGACATTATGTCAATTATTTTGATATTATATAGGTTTTTGAGAGATGATATAGGTTTTCCTATAAGATGTCAACTTTGAACTACCTGTTGTTTACTTGATGTGCACTCATTGTGTAGCCGTACGTGTTGCCTAAACACCCTTGAGCTATTATGGTTTGGCTCTGATGTGTAACATCGACTTAAGAGATGCCATTATTGAGGGTCTAAGGTGTATATACTATACCTGAAAGGAAACGGGCGCACGACAGTGCAGAGGTGCCTATAGTGAGGATCTGTGGGCTAATATTCTGTATTAATGATAATTCCATTTGTTTCTTGTCCCAAATACACGTACTTGAGATGTATGCTTCATCCTGGAAAATACTCACGCGAATTTGCTGAATTTCAAGAATGAGGGAGATAAAAAAGGAACTTTTTGGTTTGTGAAATATACATACAATGTATTACAACTAACAGGTGAGAAAATGGGCTATACACTGGAATTTGTATGAAACGTGAAAAAGTTATTACATTACATATAAATTTATTTTGTGATTTCCAGTGGAAGATACAAATCAGCGCCTGGATGTGAGGCACTGCAAAAGTGTTTTGTTGTGATTCGTCATTCCTAATTTTTCTGTGATGTAGCTTAATTACACACATTGCGGACCCGGTGGTGTTCCCGTAATGCTTCACAAAGTTTTTGAAAACGCAAACGCCCGGGGAAAATCGTAATTTATAACTTTGAACATAACCTCCCTTCAGAAAGGACAACACAAATAACCCGACTGGTCCATCTAATAGATATACTTCACGGGCAGCATATTCAGAAATATTTTTCTCACAGAGTGAATATCAATGATTTTATAGACATGCTGACCAATACACACAATCATCCTGATGCGATCTTCTACTCTGCTACTCAACCATTTTTCTTTCTGTCTCATCTTTTGAGACTATCACAAAGCATGCTGGCGAACGTAATAACCTTGCGGCTTCGGCTTCAGCCACATTCGGCCAACAAATATAATTTCGGCCACACGTTGAAGCTTCCGAAGTTTTGCGAAAATATCGCGTACCAAAGGAATGAAAATGCTCATGATTTTGGTCTCGAATTTAGGAATTAACATGAAAATATACGAATATTTGGGTGAAATAGTGTTGAGCTCCCAGTTAGTACCAGTCTATATGATTTTGTCAAACGTCAAACATTACTAACTATATCTGCAACTGAATTAACTAGCTCTTGCCTTTGCTTCTGAAACTATAGGTCCTCATGAAAACGACTGTATATGTTGTATAAGTTGCATAAAATTTTGGGAGCAGCATGCCGTAAAGTGATAAAAATCATCGTTTGCGAAAATCGTATGATACCAGTATTATAAGCAAAAAACAAAACAGCGTCAGATCTTGGCCAAGCTTTGTTCTCTCGTATATTGAATAAATATCACTATTTTAAACATTGAAAATTCTGAATTTTCAGCGAGGCATATTTGTGACTTGGATGTGAAAATAATTATACTCAAAAACAAAGTGTGTGTTAAGATTATTCGTACTTCTGCAAAATTTGAAAATTGGCATAATACGAATGTTGCATCAACACGTAAAGTAGGATTAAAATCCCGATAAAAATACATACATTTAATTTAATTTTAAATTTCTAATTGACTAAATGAACTTGAATACCTTCTAGGTTATACCTTTTTTGTAACTGGAAAAATAGTCACTTGTGAAATAATATGTGCGCTTGGGACGAGCTAGTTGATCGGAAACGTGTAGAACAAACTCAAGTTATTGTTGTTTTTTAAAAGTTACAGTTTAAAAAAAGGTTTTGAGGCTGAGTATAAAAATCACTAATAAAAGTTGTGAATAAGTTCAGCCCAGGCACTCAATGATCTTCATCATTTTCGATATAAGTATACTATCTTTTTAAAAACACTTTTTCTGTTATAATAAATGGCTTGCGACCATCTGGTACATGTTCACAGTTTACTAATTAAATTAACCTATTATTACTGGGCTATTCTGTAACCATGCTTTCGTTTACCTTCGGCCTGTGCTTCGGCAAATACAAGGCATCCTTCGACTACACTCGGGCATTCATGCACGCGCACGCACTTCCACCTTCCCAAAAATCAAATCAAAACAAAATCGAATCAGCTGTCATAGCTGTCAGTCGTGTAGTGTGCATGCCAATTACTATTCTAGAATAAAAATATATTTTTTTCTATGTTTTCACCGATTACATAAAGCGGTGTACGAGCATGATGCGCGTTTTCGGATAGAGAAACATGGTTTTCTCCCGGGCCGTGCAACATTCTTCGGTACTGCACAAAATATTTCGGAGAATAACCTTTACAAGCGGCGATCTACGCGTAATAAATGCTTCTTCGACCTCCAGTTTTTCCACTGAATATTTGGAAAAGGAAAGATTCCTGCTGTCTGGACATTGCATTAGGTATGTATTTTAGAGAATAAGCTATTTGAATAGTTGACATAGCCTAATTTTACTTTTAAATACACAGTACGTTCAGGTTGTCACGTATAACATGACATAACCTTGCTTTCCAGTGTCAACACTAAATATTTATCTTCTGAAACCTGAAACTTGCTTTCATTTTTGCAACGCTTATTGTACGAATTCATTTATTAATTTATTAGAATGTTCCGTTGAAATATTCTGTACTCGACTAATTATCTCATATTCCTAATTTCTATTGTCAGTGAGTGCCCAGGCATGTGGCTAATTTTATTATTGCATGGGTACAGCTTGTCCCTGTCCCAAATATAAAAATCGCTAATTGACGTTTCCAGAAAATATCTTAAACAAAATATATCTATTGAAAGTAACTGATCACTTAGAAATTAGGTTGATAAACATGTAAACTTATATACAAAATTGTATCAGTGCTGTAGTTTTCATCTTCAAATAGGCAGGAACTTTGAGGCTGGCTTATACAACATTTGTATAATTATAATCATAAGTCCTGTTTATACAGAAGTCACCAACCTGCCAGTGACCATGTCCAAGATACTGCCACACAAATTCTGTTCACTCTGCTACAATATAAAGTCAGAATTTGCATGGCGAGATCCCAGACACAGTAACTGACAAGCCATCAACCACTGCACAACAAACCTATAATCATGAGCTAAATCTTATGAACTTCAAGGTCAAGCTTGTTCTGCTTATGTTTATGACATTTCGTCGCTGGTAAGACAAAGGGGCGTACGTCGGAAAATGCCCATTTGGAGTTAACACCACCAGAAATCTCTAAAAGTGGATATCTATAATATGATGAAGTGGCTTGTCGCTCCTCCTTATAGTTAACGTAATATGGCATATCAGTATGTGGATGCATCTCCTATTCTTATTAGTGCTAAAAGGACAAACGGGCGTATATCGCATCTCCTGCAAAATAGCTGAATTGGAGTTACTACTCTTTGTCTTTCAAGCAACGATTTCAACTTTGATGAATCCTGATAATATGCATTTTGTAACCTAGGAAATGAGAGGAGATAGGAAATAGTTTAGAGGAACATTTTACATTACCACATATAAGGAACTGGATCCTAGGAAAATTTTGTAATCCAAAGTAATTTCATATATAAACTTAATATTGGCTTTGTTGAAGAAGATAGGTATGTCAATCAATATAAAACTCCATTTAAGATTGCGATACAAAAACAGCTACTCATTCACAAACTGGTAAAATGTCTGATTCCATGGAACATTTCCAAAATTATACAGTAAAATGAGTATAATAATTTTTTGAACAGACTGACTATTTGAATTTTTTTTATTTTTGACAATGGAATAAGCTAAATAGATAGATTTGATTCTAAAGAATGTTTATGAAACAAATTTTTGATAAAAATTAATAACTAAAAGCCTATAATTGTATGTTGATATTCCTTAGTACCTTTTGCAAAGTATTCCAAATTTTGTTATAGAGCAAGAATATGTGCAATTATTACTTCCCAATAAGCTATAATGTCACCAAACTTCTACAAAATTTAGATTTTTAAATATTTTTGACGTTTGGTTTTTTTTAGGTCAAAGAGTGAATGATACCAAAGGTGTATTTTTGGGCCAAATGTGGCCAAACCCAAAGTCTCCGTCGGACCCTAAAAATCGTTTTACATTAATATTTTGTTTCATATCATTATCCACAAAACCAATTTGAGACAAATATATCTTGACTGTTATTCAAATTTAGTAACATTGACACATGATTTGCAAAACAAGCAGGTTTAATAATCGAACATTGGATGTGAGTTTGATCACAGAGTTATTCACAATTTACTTCAGATGTTAATACTCAAACTGTTAACATGTTGCTATTAGGTCAGTTTGCTGTGCAAGGACAATGGCCTCAGATGCAGGATACTCAAAGAGCCATCCTAAGACAAACAGATTGATATCAGAAAAGTCTCCATACTTGCTGCAACATGCTACTAACCCAGTGGACTGGTATCCATGGGGACAAGAAGCCTTTGATAAGGCGAAGGCTGAAGATAAGCTGATTTTCCTTTCTGTTGGTTATTCGACCTGCCATTGGTAAGTGTGTGTTTTTGAATGATCTAATGTTTGCTTGTAAGGGTTTCCTGATATGACTGAAAATTCACAGTAAACCTCACTAATCTATTTTTTTTGAAAGTTACATGTGTGACATTCTTGTGTTTTGCACAGCTTTTGCATTAATTACTAGACTTGTTCTTACATCATTACTATCATTATTGTCTATATTTTTTGTACATTGTTGTTACTGTCTTAATTTTTGATCCTGTGAACTTGACTTGTTTACATTCTCAGTTCAAGAAATTTAAGTTGAAATATTAAACAGGGAGTTTGGGAGGGTGATATCAATCTTTCAAGGGCTGATAATTACATCCCATTTGGAACACATTAATTTTGTAAAATCCTAGAAAACAGCAAAAATAATGCGATAAACCAATTGAATATTTTGTTATATACCATTCTCCGCATGATCATTTTCTCTTTATATATACACAGTGCGACAAATAATTTTTGAGACTGGGCCTATAAAATGGGATACAGACAACATATTTTCGTACTTACAGTTTTATTTATTCAATATAATCTCCTTTTGCTTCAATTCACTTGTTACATCGATTTAAAAGTGATTCAAATTCCTGATCCAGCTCATTTGTGCCTGTGTTGAAGCTGTTTGGATGGTCGGAATGTCTTCGAAAAAACATCCTTTCAACTTTAATATCAATTTAGGAAATAAAGAAAAGAGATACGGAGCCAAATCAGGTAAATATGGTGGATGATTAAGCACACAAACTCTATTTCGAGCCAACAATTAGGGAAATTGTGAGATGGTGCGTTATCGTGCGACCAACTGTCTGGATCTTGATATTCGGAACGGATACGACGGATTCTGGCCATCAAACGCTCTAAAACTTGGAGCTAGTAGTTGTCTGTAACTGTTTGACCAGGTGGGATGAATTACTTATGGATAATTCATTTGCTATAGAAGAAGTTGATTAACATTGTATTGATTTTTAAGGCACCTTTCGCGTTTTTCTGAATTGTGGTGAATTTTTCGACTTCCATTCCGCACTTTGACGTTTGGTTGTGGGATCGTACTAAAAGCACCATGTTTCATCACCCGTAACAATCGATTTCAGAAAGTTTGGATCTTTTCTGGCGGCTGCAACAACTTCTCTGGAATGGGCGACTCTCATTGATTTTTGCTCATCCGACAAAGTGCGTGGAACAAATTTAGGACTTTTGCTTTGTACAAATCCTCGTGAAGAATGTTCCGAATCGTCTCTCGATTCAGCGCCTCTTCCATCATGTTCAGTGAGATTTGCAACAAAATCTCGTACTATTTCAATCATTTCTGGTTTTCGAATTGAAATTGGCCTTCGCATATGTTTGTCATCTTCCAGCGATTCCCTACCATTTAAAAATCGTTTGTGCCACGCGAAAACATTTGATCGACTTAAACAAGTGTCGCCATATACTTGCTGCATCAACCGGAATGCTTCTGCTGCACTTTTACCAAGCTTTGCGTTGAATTTAACGACCGATTGACCGCTCTTTGTTCCATGATGAAATTTTAACTTCGATTACAAAACTAGGTTAGGAAGCGCCATCACAACTTAGTCATTTGTCATCCGTTATACATGAGCTAAGGTGCGTTGGAAAGAAGAACACTACACCTTTGTAATGCAACTGAATTTTTACGCCAGTCGTTGCTGAGATATGGCACCAGTATTAAAAATTTGTCACACTATATATATATATATATAATAATAATAATAATGATAATAATAATAATGATAATAATAATAATGATAATAATAATAATAAATTATAAAATAATTTATTAGTGCTACCTGACTTCTTGAACAAATTTATAGAGCAACAGTGCAATAAAAATCATTGAAAATACTTTCTTCACTCCTGCTTTTGCTTATGTAATTCACACGAAACGATGCAACCATAATGTTTTTCTCAACAACCCAAAATATGTGCAGTATGTTATCAAAATTAAAAAAAAAACAAAGAAATAATTTTTGGTAAAACGATGCACCTGATAGTGACTTATTCCTATATTCAATAAAAAATTGTAATCCATTATTTCTTCTACATTTCCTCAACATTCCTTCATATTTTTAGAGTAGTAGTCAGTACTGTGTAGTCTTTCTGAAAGTTCACTTGGGCGATAAGACGATTACAAAAATTGAAAATATTGAAACAAAATAAATTCAACACATAGAAATACAATTAACATTTTCAAGAACATGTAGTAGAGAATAAAATACTAGTCGTCATACTCAATTGAAAGTAACAAAATTACATATTCTAATATAGGAACCGCACGGGTATTACGTATCTTGAAAAGTTACATTTCGTCTGTTTTTTTTGACATTGTGTAGGTTTTTTTTGTGACATTTCGTAAGCGTTTCTATAAGATGTTAAGTTAGCACAGGCTGATGTTGTACACTGGTTGTGAACTCGTTTTGTAGCTGTACGTGTTGCGTAAACGTCAGCGAACAGCGATCATAGCGACCAAACGTGGAATGAACTATAACACTGAACACTAAAAATTACCTGATCTGCAAGATGACATTTCGTCATTCTTTACGTTTTTTATGGTTTTTACGTAATAGCTCTGCCGTTATTTCTGATGCATTTTCCAGAATACAAATAAATGAATAATTTAGTCAGGACAGCTTTGTTTGACGGAAAATGAATTTCTTAAATCACTCTGTTTTAAAATTTTTTCAATAAATTCATTTGAAAAGCTATCAAGCACTATAAAATCTAACCATTCAATAAAGTGTTTTTATGTAACGACTACAGTACGTACACGCTTAGATAAATAATAAAATTAACAGAACATAACAGTGATTTTTGCCTTTTTCTAGGATTCCATAGAATTGCGCGAAACTCAAAAACTTGGCACTATGTGTGTGGCTTACAGTGCTCCAAATAGGGTATACTATCAGCCCTTAAAAGTTTACTATCGACCTTCCGAACACCCTTTATGTGCCAAAATTCCCACATACCAAATCGCGTGCAAAAATGGTTTTTATATGAAAACAAATAAATGTAAGTGCTATTATTTTGAATGCATCCTAATATTTTTTGATAACAGCATTCTTATTAAATTGGTTTCCAGAGAATAGAGTTATTGATAATGTTTTTTGACAATCACTAATTGCTTCTTCAACCGAATTTTAGACATTGATTGGTTTGATTGACCTAGTTCAGTCGACCATGGATATAAAAGAAATGTGTTTATACATTTAATAAAAGTAATAGATCACAAGGTCTAGGAAACAATATTATGATATGCTCCTTTTATTATGGTTCCATTTATAGATACTTGCATCACTAATACTATTAGACAGTAAATATATAGCAACAAATATCATACCATATTACGCGCGATTTATAGTAATGGCTAGTGGTTTGAGGTTTGAACAATAACACTATTATAGATACAAGAATCTATTGTAGCACAACATAGTAATACTAATAATAATAGTTCTGGATGCACGGAGTTCGACAGTATTTGAACGGAAGGCAGAAGCCTGGCGGGTCCGTCTGGTGTGCTCAGCGCGGCGGCATCATGGACGAGAGCTCGGAAGAGCAAAGCCCGCTGACGTAGCACTAGAAGAGAACCATATAGCCGACTGCCCGTCGATGCGAAAGGATAACGAGACTGTCCGTTGCAGAAGTGCCATCGATCAGTCTGAAAGTTGTGGATCGTCAATTTCGACGGATATCTTGCTGGAAAGCTTCTGTTGGAGGCCATAGGATAGAAGTTTGCATAACAAGGCAGCTTGCCACAGCTGATTGAACGCTTTCGTGTTATCAAGAGCGACGACATGAGCCTCACCCTAAGAGTGGATGACTTTACAGTTGCCAGACGTAAGCTAGGAGGTCGCCCCGTGGATAAGCTGGTGCCGGAAGCTATACCGCCGATCACTAACCAAGCCGTGACCTGACGTTCGAGATAGTCGTAACGTCTATATGGTAGAGTTAGCAGCAATGATCTTGGCAAGCACTTCCGCCTTAGGCTTCAAGATGGTTATAATTGTCCCATCCTGGCCCATAAGCGAGGGAAGGCTTATCTTCGAGAAGCTCCATTCAATTTGATTGGCCAGCATGTAGAAAGTCCGACTTTGTTATATTCGCTTCTGGACTCAGCTTACCAGTTCTCTACAGTGGGCGTTTCTCTGTATCAAACATTTCAGACGAATCAAAGTCGAAATGGATTCCTACACTCCCAACCAACTTGTTATTATACGACATGCTAGTTCAAATAAAACCTTCATTTCTGTTGCAAATGAATTTGTTGGATCGAAACAAATTTGAGGACGAATATTTAATATTTGGATAAACGGTTAATTTTCACATACATATGCGAGGCTTCACTCACACTGTCACCTACATCATCGCTTAGTATTATCGTCATAGAGGGTATTGAACTGAGGCTGAAATATATGTAAATATGTTATTTAAAACATGTCCTGATGCTAAACTTTCTCTAAAGGATAACCAGACAACCTTGATTTGGAGGAACGTGTAGATGCTAGATAGTGCTTATATAAATGATATCTCATTTTTTTTGTAATTTATAATTATTATTCACTAAATAAAAGTTTTTTAGAGTCATTTGTCTTAGATAAGAGATTGCGCCTGAAAGGAAATTTTAATGAATGCGGAGTAAATATAAATAGTATATCCTTGGTAGAATTAATGGTGTAATATTTTATTCGATTATTGATGGGTGAAAAATAAGCGATCCAGTTGCAGAGATTCCTATTTTGAAAGTGGTTTTTCAAATTTCGTTTACTAAGTTATGCTGTTGTATACGAATCCCCAATTTTATCAAAACGAGGTTTGAAATCTGTGCAGCGGTTAACGAATTTACGCGGTGACAAATGCTATACAGATGACATACTGGCTAGTACGAAGGCAATTTGAAACCTTATATAGAATTTTCAAGATTGCAATACTTCTTTTACCTATGCCTTGGCTTGGGAATTGTAAATAAAGTAAATCGAACAGAATAGCAGTGAAAAAATGAACACGAAAGGATCGAAATATATACTTATTTTTTCCCTCAGGTGCCATGTAATGGAAAAAGAATCATTCGAGAACGAATCAGTGGCAGAAATAATGAACCGATACTTCGTAAACATCAAGGTAGATCGCGAAGAAAGACCCGACGTGGACAAGCTGTACATGTCCTTCATCCAAGCCACTATAGGTAGTGGGGGGTGGCCTATGTCCGTCTTCCTTACCCCGGACCTCCAACCCATAGCGGGAGGCACCTATTTCCCCCCTGAAGACAGATCCGGAATGCCAGGATTCATGTCTGTGCTGGAGAACATCGCTGAGAAGTGGAATCATAAGAAAGATGTCATGCGGCAGTCAGGGAAGTACTCCTTGACGATTTTGAAGAAGGTTGCTGAGAAAGAGAGCAACGAACAGACTGTAAAGGTAAGGAGAAAATAGTTTTTTATGATCCCACAGCTTAACAGTACTAGGCTACATTTGGTCTTTTTTGCCAACTCCGAGAATCGAACACAACCGGCATTAGGAGCTCTTCCTCACCGGGACACAATGGGGACGTCGCCGGCATCCGTAGCCAAACTAACCTAGTGAAGTATCGATTTTGGCTTACGTCGAAAGTAGTCGCTACGTCAGGGAGATGCCAGGTTTGCCTACGGATGCTGGAGACGTCTCCATGACGTCCCTCTGAGGGAGGGCTTTTAATGTCGAACCAGGGGGAACTTAGAACGAATACCCTTAGTTCTGGATCATACGTACAGGACATATTAGCCTAGGAAGTGAACTTACGTTCCTCCCCTTTTCTTTATTCTAGAAGATTGATTAGTCGAGAGTGGTATCAACTTGACGTCTGTTAATTTTCAGCAACGGATCACGGCTAATGCAAGAGCACTTATCTCTTAGTCTTGGTGTCATAAAACGATGAGCACTATAATTCCCGAAGAAAATGAAATGATTCTGTTATTTTGGTATGTGTAGGTGCCTGGTGAAGACGTCTGGAAGAAATGCCTGTTGCAGTTCACCAGAAATTACGAAGAAGACTTTGGGGGTTTCAGCAGTGCTCCGAAGTTTCCGCAACCGGTTAGCTTCAACTTCCTATTCCATATGTACTCCAGGAACAAAAAGTCCGAACAAGGCTTCATGTGTCTGCAGATGTGCCTGCATACTTTGACCAAAATGGCGTATGGCGGAATACATGATCATGTAAATTGTGGATTTGCTAGGTATGTGTTTGTGGACATAAGACTATTTGTGGAGAACCATATTTAGATTGTCTGACGTGTTGATTATCTCTTTTTACCCGCACTGGTATTTCGTAACTTGAAAAGTGACATTATGTCGATTTTTTTTGACATTATGTAGGTTTTTCTACAAGATGCTAACTTAGCACCAGTTGATGGACACGTTGTGATATCGTTTTGTAGCTGTACGTATTGCCTAAACGTCATGAGGCTTCAGTTATCAATGGTTGGTTCTGATATGATGTAAAATATGCTTCAGAGATCACATCACTGGAGGTAAAGGCAATGCATAGGTGCATAGTGAGGAATTGTGTGCTAATAATATGATGATGATAATTCCATTGGATTTTTGTTTCAAATACACTTATTTGAGATTCAAAGCTAGAAATTAGTTGCGTTTCCGTTTTCTTATCCATTCTGGAAATTACATTTGCAAATTTGCTGAATTTAAAAAATGAGAGAGATAAAAAATAATTATATTCACACACAACACGGGCGCGGTGATGATTTAATTCTCCTCAAAGTTTTTGAAAACACAAAAAACGTAAAGAATCGTAATTTATAACTTTGAACATAAGCTGTCTTCAGAAAGGACAACATATAAATAACCCGTCGGGCACAGCTAATAGATATACTTCATTGGCAGCATATTCAGTAATGATTTTCTCACACAGCAAATATCACTGATTTTATACATATGCCGGCCAGTTCACATAATCATCCAGATGCGACCTTGCTATTCAACCAACTTTCTTCTCGGAGATGAAAACTATAGAGTACTCGGTTTCACAAAACATATGCAACCAACAATACGTGTAGTTCCTCCAAAGATGGACGCTCACAACGATTATAGTGAACAAACGTGGAATGATTTTTTGCACCCACTATCTAGTCTACAAGATGCCATTTTATAGTTTTTTTTGACCTTTTATAGATTTTTTACGTAATTGTCGTGCCGAGCGCCTCAGAAGGAGGGTTATTATTTTCGCGCGTGGTTTTGTCGACAAAAAATTATATTTCACAGGCTAGAGTCCAAACGGATTGATAGGTGTATAAACACTTTATAAAATCAGAATGGCAGATTTTAATGGAAAGTGTCAGCTTTGAAATTCCTATTTCACGAGCTACGGCTACAGCGTTAACGGCTTGATGGATTTTGGCACATGAACTTTGTATTGACAGTGCGAGTGACACTGGTTGTACTAAAATTTTATAAAAACAATGGCGGATTTTAACCGAAAATATCAGCTTTGAAATTCATATTCTACGGTCTACATCTAAAAAGACTTGATGGATTTTGATATACGAGGTATCTAGATTTATCTTATTAGTGCAAGCTAGTGACACTGGGATACTAAAATTTTATAAAGTTAATATGGTGGATTTTAAGTGCAGACTTTGAAATTTCTATTTCACAAGTTGCAGCCTAAACGGCTTGATGGATTTTGACATTTAAGGAGCCCTTAAATTCTTCTTGATAGCGCAACTAAATCTTCATTCGTTTTAACTACTGCACTTGGGTTGTATGTATTTTTTAAAATGTATTTGTCAAGGGTGGCCTTATGTTTACGTATCTTTATATCATGGAATTGATAGGTTAAAATAAGTACAGCTAAGTGGCCAACAAAGAGTGAATTTATTTGGGTAAGTATTATTTGCAGTTGCAGGATTATCTTTCAATACCAGGACACTCTGTATGCACATGTATTATACATGATCGTATGGGTTGTACCGCGTATATGGGTAAATTGTAAGTGATAACTCGAAATGCATATATGTAAAAGTATGATGCAAGGTACGCATGAATTAAGCTTGTTGTTTATATGAGGCTGATATAGTGGTTGACCTAAGTATATCTACTTCCTGGGCGTGCCTTTATTCAGAGTATACAGCTTTCGATGTCGCTCGACAATGTACGTATATAATAATGAGAGTATAGCCAGTTCTTCAATTTCTGGATTCAAGAAGTAATCGCCGTAATGTGATACTTATATCATTTTTGAAGTCGATATATTATTAAGACTGAGTTGGTGTTTGTAGATAATAAAAGCAACTTGAGTTTAATGTAAACAGTAAGGAATGAAAACATATTTTATACATCTGGTGGTTATTACTTTTACATAATGATATTTGTCCGCTATATGGTCATATCACATTAGGATGATCCTATTAGGATTACGCCCATCATGACCCGTAGCAGCGGATAACCTGCTTTCTATACCCGAGAATGCACCGCGTAAAATACCCGTTTGGCAAGCGTTTCGTTTGACTATGTGTTCAGTGGCGAAGCGTCCATGTAACCATTGTTACCATTGGTAACAGTTAAAAATCTTAAAAATAAATAATTTATGACTACTGTGAAATAATTTCATTTATTTATTTACCCAGCAATATGTACTAGTAATTCAGTAATTATTAGCCCCGCGAAAATAATGCGCCCTATAATACTATCTAGATTTTACGAACGCGATGAAGCCGACTCGCCTCGACTTGGTTGTTACCATTTTCGTTTATGGATACACTTGATAGTCCGTCGGAGACAGTCGGTGCCGGCTCGTGTCTGATTGCGGTCGCCCAAGTGCTTGGACCGCCGCGATTACTATGTAGGCTTGTTACCATTTTTTGTTTTGGTTACTCACTTCTCCCTCGTTAGTAATTGTGAGTGTCGCTGCGAAATCGATTAAATACTTGAAAAGTCATTCTCCTTGTATAATTTGGAAGAAAAAAAAGGAGATCATTGAAAATGGAACACCAACTTATTTTAGATAATTTTAAAAAGGAATAAAAAAAGTAGTTCGATATTTTAAATTTAGTTGGTATATTGAAAACTCCCGCCATGTCTTGTTTTCTACAAAAAAAAAAAAAAAAATGGGTGGACCAGCAACGATTTAAATAGTTTTAGGGTTCTGAAGAGGAGTCATGAAATTTCTCCTTTACCTGTGAGATGTGTAGCCAATTTGATTCAGTTTGGCAAAACAAGAATCGAAAGTTGTCTTAACCAAGATTTTAGGAAGCACACTTATAGATGCTGTATGTTTTTTGGTCAAACAAAAATTACCATTTCGGGGTAATTTTGAAGGGGATGACTCTGACAATAGAGGAAATTACTGGGAATTGTTAACATTAATTGCCAAAAAAGAAAAAAAAATCCGAACGTCTAGAAACGTCTACTGTTTTTCGGAAGGCTTGGATTAGTCATAGCATAAGACGATGAGGTATATCAAGTGCCGCAGACGCCCAGTCCAGCAAGGTTTACCTTAATTTAAAAAAAGTTTAAATGACCTAAAATAAGCAAAAACTTTTACATGGGAGGGTCAAAATAAACCTATTTTAATCAGATTTTTCTCATCTGGTTTTGGTAACAGTTTAGCAAAAGTCACGCGTCGCCACTGTAGGTGTTGACAAGTTGCTATTTTTGCATACCGGTTTTATGGTAGAATTAGTTAAAGGAACGATAATTGCTTCCATGTTTTGGATAAAAATTGGTAAAAAACTAGTCCTGATTCCTTCTGCTCCAAAAGCTGATAGGTTCATTTCGTTTAATCCAAACTCTATGGTCTTCTTCCAAACACGTATTATTCGCTGGGTGCTGCGCGATGATGGTGCTATCTAGTGGATGTCGGATATAAAACGGATATTAATGAATTATTGAGGATTCCAAAGAAACTTTGTTAATCCGATTTTTGAACTACCTAAGGTTAGTAGAACTGTGAAAAGGCTGCTCTTGTAGATTGTCCCATAATCTCGATAGGGACAAAGCAGCAATCGTATCGGCCAGTTCTGGATTTACGGTTAGGACGGGAGGCCGAAGAGTATGGATAATATAGTCTGAACGACAGCACACCAAACATGTGAGCAATACTAGAGGCTACTTGTTAATGAACGGCTCTTAGGCAGAACCCGGCCATCCATCGAAACCGGATGAGCACCAGGACGCTTATTGTTCGCCAAGGTATAGTACTATTTTGGAAGCCTTAAACTGTACAAGATTGTTGCGTGCCCAAGCAGTGATAACCTCCAGGTCTCTTGTCAGAGCGGAAGTCATTTCTAGCCTTCTTTTTCCCGGTCACCGGCAGAGATCGGCTTGTCACCCTGAATTCCTGCGTTTAGGATGCTGTCATCAGCAAATCTATGGATTGGACTTATGGTACAGGAAAGGAGGTCGTTGATATCTAAGAGGAACCGTGTCGGAGCCTAGACCGATCTCTGGGAACATCCGCATTGACGTTGTGGGATCAAGAACAGAATTGGTCGATTACGACGGATATCTTGCGACCAGAGAGGATGTCAGCCACCTATCTGCAAAGCTCTGGGAGGCCATGGGATGGAAGTTTGCATGGGCTTGATTTTAATACAAAGCAGTGAAATATGCGAATTTGTCCTACTTGAGTTCTATGTTTTTGTTGCAGATATTCAGTGGACGATCGCTGGCACGTGCCGCACTTCGAGAAGATGCTGTACGACCAAGCGCAGCTCGCTGTCTCATACTGCGATGCATACGTCCTTACCAAGGATGCATTTTACGCTAAGGTCGTTCGCGACATCCTCACCTACGTGTCACGTGACCTCAGTCATCCGCGAGGGGGCTTCTACGGAGCGCAGGACGCCGATTCGTATCCGTACCACGGGGCTCCGCATAAGATGGAAGGAGCATTTTGCGTTTGGGAGTTTGGGGAGATTGAAGACTTGTTAGCCGGGAAGGAGACGGACGGGATCAAGCATTTTGATTTGTTTGTGCATCACTATAATCTGAAGGAAGAGGGTAAGTTTTGAAATCGTTTCTGGAGTAAGGCGGAGTCAAGTTACCGAACTTCTGTTTCTAGTACGTGTCCTACGTCGCGACTCTCTCGTAACTGTTATTGGTAGGGGGCAACGCTCATAAAAACGATTGTTTGGCATCGGGGTTTCGGCATTAATTTAAAAGATTTGTTTGCACATTATTGTACCTCCTTTTATTCAGCAAACCGTGATTATTAGAATCTGTGTTAAGCGTCTGCGCATAATTCTGGAATCCCTTGTGTTAACATTATATTAGTTTTTATTTGTTCTGTATCTTGCAAGTACCAAATAACTGATATATAGAAAAAGTTGTATATCATAACAAGGGTTTAATATTGACATCCCAACTCCTTCTATACCTAGCTTAATGGCAAGTTTTTTTAGCCTTATTTCATTCCGTCTGTATCTTGTTTTAGTATACTGATTAACAAAACGTCAAATACAATAACATATGTGCGACGGGTCACTGTGTAATGCCCGGCTGCACCGCCTTTCTTAAATTTACCACTTAGCAAAGGTAATTTGAATGCTGAGGTTAACTTCAAATTGAGTTTTTGTTGCACCATTCTGATTTGGTGAAAACTTAGCTAAGATCAAGTTACATCCGACAACAGTGCAGCTGTAATGTTTTTTTAGTGAAATTACGTCTCCAACTACAAATCAGTTGGTTGAATTGGTTGTCTTTTTGCTTTCACACTAAAGATATTTGATTAAAAACGCAAACTCATAATCACATGTATTTAAATGTAAATTGACTGGACGTAATGTTTCCCTTATAGCATTGCTATAATTGTTGTATTAAACACAATATTTATCACTTGGTATTTCCTTAGGATCGTCTGTCAGTCTAAAAATATTATTATGTGTTCTCAGCCATAACAGGCATTCGAACAATTCGCATCTCATTTCATGGCCAAAGTTGTTGTTTTTGATAAGAAGCTACAAAATATCATCACGCAAGTTTTTTGGAACAACATAAAAAAACTGATATACTGGGTGTCCCAGAAATAACACAGACAGAGTGACACGGGAGGTAGATTGGCTTCAGATCAATCAGATAAAAAAATCACCACTTTTTGCTCCTTTTTTGCCTGTTATGGCTATTAACAACTCCTAATTTATGAGTTTTTTCCTGGGCTACCATTATTAGTTGGTTGAGACTACCGCGTAATCATTTTATTGAAAACTAGAACTAGAACGGTATATTAAAAAAAAATATTACATTTTGTTCAATGTGAAAACCTTTACTAACGATTGACTAATTACTGTGAAAAAATGTACCAGACTAAATCGGCAAATGATCTTAAAAGCTAGCCTATTTAACGCTAGGTTCTTTCTACTTAAAATTGAATACTTCCAAGTTTTGTCATTGAAGTCGAAATACTACAAATAAAAATTAAGTGCAGCCAACTTTTGTATCGAAATCACTAAGTAATTAAATGCTCAAGAACAAACTCATTTTCTTTTTTCTCTCCGTCAAAAATTTCTGGATTTCACCTGTTCCGTGTCCTGTTGTGAAATGTTTTCCGATTGAATTGTAGGAAATTTCAGGCTGATAAAACATCATATAAATCAAAAGTATTAACACTTTGAAGCAAACAGATACTTGTGACATAAACTCAAAATAGAGCACTGACACGGAAAAGTAGAAAACTATGAAAATCAAGGAGGCCATAAAGGGCGTCCTACAATTGTAGACGACTGACGATATGGCCCTTATATCATGTTGACTTTATCTGATTGATCTGAAGCGAATCTACCTCCCGAGTCAATCTGACGTGTTATTTCCCAGTATACAGAGTATCTCGACAAATAATTGTGAGTAGGTCATACCGGTTAAATCATAAAAATGTCAAACTGCTAGTTGACATTTTAGGTTAGAAAATCCACCTTGAGCAGAAAAAAATCTCCGACTTAGCTCAACTGCCTGTTCAAGTTCCACTCAAGTTTCAAGTATATCTAGTGCAACACAAACAGAAATTTAAGGTTCAGCTTAGCCTAAAGTTGACCTTAGCAAGGCAGTGCAACTGATCGTTAATATGTTGATACTGTTAATACTTGAAAAATTTCAGAATAAACATTTGTGCAGATTAGGCGTATTTGTGTTATAAAATTCGTTACAGTTATGCAAATTTTCTATGTGCTTCTCTAGAAAAGTTTGCGGCTCAGGTGAAAACCTCATTTGGTTGTCGTAAAAGTAACATGATGATTACCTTAGATGTGTTCGTTTGGCTTTACGGATATGCATTAATGAAAGAACGATTTAAAAGAATCAACAAAATGTTTTTGAGGGGTCTGAACATAGTTCCTCCAAAAAGTACATGCCGAGTATCGCCACTTTTCTATAAAGAAAACTAACAAACCTGCCATCCAAGCCGCAAACGAAAATATCGCCCAAAAGCTAAGACGATGTATCCTTAGAATGTCATCGTATCACATACTTGAAAACTGTACGTAAGTCTATCTCAGCTATTAAATGCAATCTTGTCTATGTAATGATTGAGACAACATCGGTCATGTCGGCGTCTTGACATTTTTTCTCTATATAATCTCAGTATCGATACCTCAATCATTGTCCTGGTTCTGAAGCAGCTGTGAAGACAGGGCTTAAATGCTGAGGACACGTATATATGTGAAAATATCTGTATTCTCACGCGCGGCAAGTATTGTGCCAGTCGCTTGAAACATTTTTATATCAGTTTTTAGCTATGGTCATTTTACGATTCCTAGATTTTTTCTTCCTTAACAGGGAATGTGAAGCCACGCCAAGACCCGCACGGCGAACTTCGCAAAAAGAACGTTTTGGTGTGTTTCGGTTCGTACGAGAGAACCGCGAATGCCTTCAATACGATCGAAGACAAAGTGGAGCAGATCCTGAAAGAGTGCCACGCCATTTTGTATGAAGAACGCCAGAAAAGACCGGCTCCAGATACCGACACTAAGATTGTCACTTCCTGGAACGGCCTGATGATCTCAGGTTATGCGAAGGCGGGTTTCGCGCTGAAAGATCAAGCTTACATAGATCGGGCGATCCGCGCGGCTGATTTCATACGGACTTACTTGTGGAGGGAAAAGGACAAGACTTTGATGAGATGCTGTTATAAGGGGGAAGGATTCGATGAGGTTGACGTGCCGTAAGTTATTTTTTTGTTATCCCACGGAGGCTGATGTCCTGTAAAAAAAAGAATATCAGTATATTCCCTCCAAAAAATGTATTTTCGATCTGTCAAGCTTTGTCTCAAAGTTCATACATACATTTTCGCGTCAGAACTGTGACGTACGTATCAATCTGTAACCACGTGGCGCGTTGTCACTTCCTGATTATTGAATGCAAGTCGAATTGTATCATGTAGGTTGACATGAAATACAGCAGCGGACAGAAGTTTGGAAAAAAAATATTAACATTATTATGAACTTTTTCATATACCTAAATTAGAATTTCAAAGGAACAGATGATTTAAATATTAAAGTCTGTCTTTGTCTCCCGTACTGATACAAGTTTTATCTTATTGATATTTCAATTCTCAGAAAATAGAAACACGCGTTTTTTAAATAATACAGTTTTTTTAACGACAAAAGTATGGAGACATTTCAATTTTGCCGTATTTATTCGTTCTGCGATACTCTGATATTGCGTGCGGTAAATATTAATATCAGTGAGAATGGCAAAAGTAAAAGAATTTCCAAAAGACTTGAGAAAAAAAAATGAACAGAGGGATGATTTCGAAAACTATTAGTAAATATTACGAATACGGATGAACAGCAACGCGGCCCAGGTGCGGAAGACCGAAAAAACCGATATGTTTTGGATCGCTACATTAAACGTTTGTCTCGTGCAGATCCTCGAATGCCACCCACACAGTTTTTCAAAAGAATCGTAGTAGAGGGTGCCAGGAATCTTTCTGTCAGAACAGTGCAGGGACAGACGCTTGGTGGATCATTTAAAAAAAGTCGTATTGCTCGGCTTGAATTTGCTAAAACTCATCTAACTTGGACAGAACAACTTGTTTGGTTCTGTCGGTACGGCATATAAGATTCGACAAAAAGTATCAGTTGCCAACAGTTAAACATGGTGGAGGCAATATCATGGTTTGGGGCTGTTTTTCTAATGCCTTTACGATGGACATTCCAGCAACATAATGACCCCAAGTATACCTCAAAATTCGTAAAGGGCGGGTTAAGACTAAAAAATGTTAATGTTGTTAAGATGACCTTTGCATTCCCCAGACCTAAACCCTATAGAACATCTCTGGGAGCATGTTAAAAGACAACTGACAAAAAAGACTTATAAAAATAGGAATGATTCATTTGATTATGTAAAAACTATTTGGCAATATATCCCAACAGACGTCTGTAAAACATTGGTGTCTTCTATGAGCAGCAGATGTCAGGCAGTGGTGAATGCTAACAAATATTAGCTAAACAGTATTTTTTAAATCTTTTTGTAGAGTTATTCTATTTAATTTTGTGATAAAAAATATGTTTCCATACTTTTGTCGTCTTAGTTTCGCTCATGAAATAATATGCATGTATTTTAATGCTAGTCTGTAGTACCACAGCAAACACAAATTGTCATTTGTATCCTCAAGACTGTAAGCAAACTATATGAGAAAAAAAATAGTCCTTAATAATAAATAATAAAAAAATAGCATATTTTTTTAAAATTACAAAGAATGTTTCCAAACTTTTGTCCGCTACTGTATATGGTAAAATTATCTAATTCACAATTGTCGCGGCCGTGAAGGAGCTATATGTCGTGGCTATTAGTGAAGGCGTGGAAGTGCCAATTGCTCTTATTTTGTGGTCAAAATGTTTGATAGTAATGATTATTTAATCTTTTTCTTTTCAGGTCGAACCCAGTTCCAGGGTTCCTGGATGATCACGCATTCCTCATTCGTGGTCTACTGGACCTTTACGAAGCTTCTTTGAATGCCGATTGGTTACAGTGGGCGGAAACCCTTCAGGAGCAACAAGATCTGAAGTTCTGGGATTCAAAGGCGCATGGATACTTTACCAGTCCCGAGGGTGATTCTTCTATTCTCATCAGGGGCAAAGAGGGTAAGTGAATTATAAATAATCTTCCATCACTTTACAAGCGAATCATGTTTATTTTAGTTGTCACATTTGTTGGTTGTCACAGTAAATTTTTTTCGAGGTAAATATGTTTCTGACCTCTCTCTCAGCAGTTCTAGGATTGACATTCACAAGATGTTTTTCGACTTTTTTGTCATACTGATTAAAAATGGCATAGGAAACACTATGCTGCGGCGTGTAATAGCAGAACACTTAGCAAGACAGGCGGCATGCCGCCGTTAGCAAAAGCAGCCTTGGCCGGTAGGTACGCGATACAAGCGCTGTCAATTTTTTAGTAGAGCGTCGTATGCGAAATGCGTTTTCTAGTTCAGTATAAGCCAAGATATGGATTTCTATATTTGAGACTTCCTATTCAACGGCACCGGGTTGGAGAGATGTATTGCATATGAAGACTTAGTTACTCGGTCCATGTAGAGTAACATACCGACAGAAATAATGATCTTCGATAAGTTTAAGTTTTTGACTATCAGGTTCACATTACCCTGGAATTGCTCCTTTCGCATCTATATTTTTCTATTGTATAGCCGATTTATCAGCATATCAAATAATGGGTGATTTTTTTGCTAGTATCTTTTTGGCAACACTGTTTTTGACGGATGACGCGTGAATCGTGTCTTGTGTCATTGTCAAACTTGTTCGGTTTGGTCTATAATTTAACCATGAATCGACTTACAAATGAACAACGCTTGCAAATTATTGAATTTTACTATCAAAATTGATGCTCGGTTAAGAGAGTGCATCGAGTACTGCCTCCAATTTGTGGGCAATTTGGTCGGCCTACTGAGGGAGCTATTCGGAAGCTTGTGACTAAATTTCGAACCCAGTTTACATTATTGGACATTAAACCACCCAACACGCAGACGTAGAGTGAGGACTGAAGAAAATATTGCGGCTGTATCCGCCAGTGTTAGTGATGACCGTGAAATGTCGATTCGCCGCCGTACGCAGCAATTGGGCCTCTGTTACTCCACTACGTGGAAAATTTTGCGACATGATTTGGGTGTAAAACCTTATAAGATACAGCTGGTGCAAGAATTGAAGCCCCACGACCTCCCACAACGTGTCCCATTTGGTGAATGGGCGTTGGCAAAGTTGGAAGATCCACATTTTTATCGAAAAATTGTGTTCAGCGACGAAGCTCATTTCTGGTCAAATGGGTACGTTAACAAGCAAAATTGCCGCATCTGGAGTGAAGACCAGCCAGAAGCATTGCAAGAGCTACCAATGCATCCCGAAAAAAAATCACTGTTTGGTGTGAATTATGGGCCGGTGGCATCATCGGGCCGTATTTCTTCGACAATGGCCGGAACGTAACTGTGAATGGCGAGCGCTACCGTGCGATGATAACAAACTTTTTTTTTGCCCAAAATGGAAGAGCTGGACTTGGCTGACATGTGGTTTCAACAAGACGGTGCCAAATGCCACACTGCACACGAAACAATGGCCCTATTGAGAGGCGAGTTCGGTGAACAGTTTATCTCACGTTTGGGGCCCGTCAACTGGACGCCTAGATCGTGTGATTTAACGCGGTTGGACTATTTCTTGTAGGGCCATGTTAAGGCTAATGTCTACAGGGATAAACCAGCAACGATTGACGCACTGGAAGCCAATATTGAAGCATTTATTCGTGAGATACCGGCCGATATGTTGTAGAGAGTGAGGCAAAATTGGACCTTGCGTATGGGCCATCTAAAGCGGAGCCGCGGCCAACATTTACATGAAATAATCTTTAAACATTAAATTATATCGACCGTTCTATCGACTCAAATAAAGATTTAATCGTTTTTTAAAATTTCTTGTGTTTTTTTTCAAAATCAAATCCTATACCTCTTAAAAAATCACCCGTTACAAGTTGATGGTTATGTCCTCCTATAGAAACTCCATACTTTGTCTTATGATTATAAGTATATCTAGTACAGATATATAATTTGGTTTTCTCTGATTTACCTGTAGCTTTTTGTATTACTGTCGCGATTTAACAAAAACAAATTTCGCTAAAAACGATTGGTTTGTTGTGTTATCGTCTAAGATAGATTGGATGCTTAGAAATAGTTCGATCACACTGTATCGTGAATCTCTATTTATCAAATAAATGCAAGTATTTGATTTATAAAATAATTCGTTCCATCAGTAGCAGGCCCGTGGATTGTTAATTTTTATGATCAAACGCAGTTGCAACATGCCCATATAAAAACCAATTACTGTAAAAACAGTGCGGTATATTTTATTTCCACTTGTTATAACGTACAGTCCGTGACAATCAAAAGTTCGCGAGTCTTGGCCTAACGTACAAGGTAAACAATCGATTTAAAATAATCTAAATTTAAAATACTCTTAGACGTCTTGTAGACCAATCCAGATATAGCAACGACTACCCAGTTCAAATATGTATAATTTTTTTATGTAAATTCAATATTTTTTCTGTCTGAACGATTTTTTTCAGTGTTTCTGGATCATTCTGAACAAGAGATGCCTCTAGTAACCCCTCTCTAAAAATGGCCATTTTCGACTTAAAGCATTTTGATATCTGAAAAACCCTAAAAATGGGTATATTCGATGCTTAAAAACAGTTGAAAATTGTACTTTTTGAGACCGCCAAGTATCTAAGCTAAAGTTTAGCCTTGTTCTATAAGACCCTGACCAGTTTTTTGAGATTAGTTAATTTTAGTGCAATTTTCAACCTTGTCTGTTTGGCCAAAACTGGTGAACTTTTTATTTTCGCAGACTGTACGTCATAAAAGCTATTTTTAATATTTCGTTGCATTTCATGGTCCATTATGTAGTTGTGAATTAAACTCTGCACATTAGGATAAGGCTATAAATAAACCTGGATGTAGGTCCAAAGTTCTTCTATTGTACTTCTCCGTCGGTAAATTGCGAAGTTGGAAAGATTAGGATGTAAATGTCTGTTAAAACTTAACATTTTTGGTATGGATACTAATAGCTTTCGCACACCTTTAATATATGCATGTGTGCAAGTTATGTATTCCAGATTCTCTTAGCATGAATTAAAATTAACATTGTGGCTTGTTTATTTGCCAACAAAGAAGTACTATTATAAAAAACTTCGAATCGTTATAGGTATACACTTGGTACCTGATGGTATACATAATTTGCTTCTGGTGACAAATCATAGACTTTCGGTGTTGCATGGGTCGTCAAACCATTTGTCGACTTTCCTAGCTCTTGTCAGAATATGCATTGTGGAAATTATTTGATTTCCTATCTTATAAGTAGTACCCGTTGATTATCTTGTGAAATCTCAATATGTATTTGTGCTGCATATAAGTTGTAAACAACTTCGACCTCGATTTTAATCGAATGAGAGAGTGCTGTATATAGACACCCAAACAATCTTCTAAGGCCGTTCACATTGATTCAATGCTAAAAACAAGCGGGAAAGTGAAATGTATGCATTAAGGTTAAGGTGTAACATTGCATGTATCGTTTTTATACTATGCGACGAAGAAAATTGAACAAAGTAGCAAAGTAGAATTCGTTCTTTTTAAGGTAAGTTGTGTCGAAAATGCTGAGACATGTAGAAAATATTTAATAACTTTTTTCTGTAACATTCAAACAGACACATTAGGAGAATAGATTTGACAACGAGATCAGTCCATGTACTGACAACACCACTGTCAGTTTTCAGCTTAAAGTTCAGTAAAGTTTGCGTTATTCGATCTATATTCGGAATGTAAGTTTTTAGCAAGCGTTTCGCTACTTTGTCTCTCTAGAGCGACAACATTGTCATATTCAGTCGGTCAGATGCTAAAATTAAAGTTAGTGTTTCCGCTCTGTAGGAGCTAAATACTTTTTTCACTACCAACCTGAGAAATCATCAATATTGGCCACAATCCTCCATTGAGAAGTATCTTTGCTTCCCCTAAGTAAATAATTTAAAATTATATTCTGTGAATTTTATCGAGTCAGTTTGGCAACTGAACTTTATATTGCGGAATTTTTGAAAATTTTTGTGAAATAAGTAATGTTCTGTTTCGAATACCTCAATAATCGGCATAATATTGGAAAAGATTTTCCAGTCTTAACAGCAAGAAGATAAAACCAACCAGCATTTGTACCTTTCTCTCCTGTCTGCCATTAAATTATAATAATAATAATAATAATAATAATAATAATAATAAATTGCTTTTATTGCTCATGTAAGTACAGAAAAAGAAAAATACATAACATAAATCTGATGCAGTGAGCAAACGGCAAGGTTCGCTTGATTGACAACCATTAGTTGTCAATCCGCGCTCTTCCACCTAACCAAAAAAAAAATAATAAAAAATAAAGTAGTATATCAGTAATAATAATAACAGCAAGAGAAAAGTTAAACGTTAACACAGATACATATAGACATATTATGTTTTAAAACTATATATTATATTATACATCTATAGATGACATATAACTGCTGCAGGCACCTTGGTAAAACCTATAATATAAAACGAGTTGATGCTTGAATGAGATTGCTAGAAGTTGTAGCTAATATCTTATGAAGGTAAAATGTCAAAGATCAAATGAAAAAGATATACAGAAGAATAATTGGCAAATTACCGTGCAGTGTTAAATTTAAGTCATCTCAAGTCTCAACATAGTCTTCACTTCTCGCTTAAATCTCAAAATTGATAGGGCTTTAATTCTATCAGGCAGCGAGTTGTAAACCTTAACTATGTCATATGAAAAAGAGCACTTATAATTTGAAGTTTTAAATTTAGGTAGTGAGAGATGATGTGTAAACCTCGTGTTACGACTATGCACTTCTGTACGGGTCTTGATCTTCTTGTAAAGATAGGATGGTGATTCAGTATTGAGTATCTTGTGGTATAGTACGGATCGATGAAGGAACCTTCTTTTCTCTATATTGAGCCAACCTAAGTTCTTTAAGTGAAGAGATATCGGCTGCCGCCTTCTAATACCACTAACAAACCTGACACAAGAATTTTGAATACGCTGAAGGC